AACATATATATATCTAGGTACCAACATATATATCTAGGTACCAACACATATATCCAGGTACCAACACATATATTTAGGTACCAAACATATATATATCTAGGTACCAACATATATATATCTAGGTCCCAACATATATATATCTAGGTACCAACACATATCCAGGTACCAACATATATATCTAGGTACCAACACCTATATCTAGGTACCAACACATATATCTAGGTACCAACACATATATCTAGGTACCAACACATATATCTAGGTACCGACATATATATATCTAGGTACCAACATATATATATCTAGGTACCAACACATATATCTAGGTACCAACACATATATCTAGGTACCAACACATATGTCTAGGTACCAACACATATATCTAGGTACTGTTTATGATGTTTTTGTTGTACTCTATTATCAACAGAGTAACAAACAAAAATCTTAGTAATTGTTCCCCTCACAATGAAGTTAGGAAGGGTATATACTGGAATCACCCTGTGTGTCTGTAATAAATAACTTGTCCAGAAAACTCCATCTTAACTAACTGGCAGATTTTATTGAAACTTCATTTGAATGATCAGTATATTATTTAGTTGTTCACCAGGATTTTAATTTCAGATTTCAACATTTTTTAAGGAGTTAGGTCTCCTAAGCGAAATAACTAGTCTGGAAACCCAAAGGTCAAGGTCACTAGATGATGTATAAACTATCAGCATCTGCAGGGGGTATTAGTTCTTCTCCCTATGACAGTTCTTGTTTCTACCAAAGTATCTATGAGAACACATTCATGCCATACCGATGATGTAAGACGTTCTGTTGCTGTGTGTGTTAGAGTGCTAGTAGGCACTATTCAAAACAGAAATTACTTTGAAAGTTAATACTTTTTGTTGCAAAAACAATCTCTTATATTTTACTTAGGCTGAGGGTACAAAAGTAAAGCTACAAAATTCGACAATGAAGTTGTGCTGTCTGCCATGTTTGATTGCATGCTTTCTAATACTGGAACCAGTATCTGGACTGATTTTCAGGAGTAATGTCACACTACCACAATTGATACACTACCCAAATTGGTACACGGTCAGAAAATGGTTTGAATTGTGCTTAAAAATTAAATTTAACAAAATAACAAAAGAGATACGTATCAGTATTTCCACTGACAAGGTTTGTTTTCAGGAATATTTTAAGAGAACACGATGACTTCCAAGTAAACATGTCAGAAATCCAGTAAAAATGGCTTGCGTCGACGAAATGTTTTGAGGATTTTAATGGGGTTAAATATAAGCATGTTTAAATGTTGACTTCTGGTCCTTATAACCGGATAATAGAAAAGTTTATATATTCAATTGTAGTTCAGTATGGTATTTATAAAAAGCAATATATTTTGTTGCAATCGGCACATTAACTAGTAGAAGTAAACATACGTTTCATAGCCTGTGATGTGGTGTACCAATTTGGGTCCTAATCACGGCCGAAAAAACGGTTTTAGATATTTTTAGCTCACATAAGAATCATGTGAGCTATTGCTATCAGCTTTTGTCCATTATTGATTTACGTTTTCTCATTTTATACTTCAACTCTAATTCTCTGGTTTCTCATTGTAGGTGGCCGAACCCAATCTATGCGGGGATGTTTGGAGCCGGTCTTTTCCACTCAATATTACTCTACTTTGTACAGATTCTTCCTTGTATCCTTACAGAAATGACAAAAACAATATTGTGTTAAAGGGTATTCTGAACAGATTTTTATCAAAGTTTATACAAAGTATGAGATTACCTCAGATGAGTTCGTATTTCAGAATCCCAAGGTCAATACCAAGGTCACTGTCGCTAGTCATAGGTCAACCATTGCTTTGTTGTCAACAGTTTACCGACTTGGGAGGTTAGGGGGCATTCGTACATGTAGTCAACAGTTTACCCACTTCAGAGGTAAGGGGGCATTCGTACATGTAGTTAACAGTTTACCCACTTCAGAGATAAGGGGGCATTCGTACATGTAGTTAACAGTTTACCCACTTCAGAGATAAGGGGGCATTCGTACATGTAGTTAACAGTTTACCCACTTCAGAGATAAGGGGGCATTCGTACATGTAGTTAACAGTTTACCCACTTCAGAGATAAGGGGGCATTCGTACATGTAGTTAACAGTTTACCCACTTCAGAGATAAGGGGGCATTCGTACATGTAGTTAACAGTTTACCCACTTCAGAGATAAGGGGGCATTCGTACATGTAGTTAACAGTTTACCCACTTCAGAGGTAAGGGGGCATTCGTACATGTAGTTAACAGTTTACCGACTTCAGAGGTAAGGGGGCATTCGTACATGTAGTTAAAAGTTTACCGACTTCAGAGATAAGGGGGCATTCGTACATGTAGTTAACAGTTTACCCATTTCAGAGATAAGGGGGCATTCGTACATGTAGTTAACAGTTTACCCACTTCAGAGATAAGGGGGCATTCGTACATGTAGTTAACAGTTTACCCACTTCAGAGATAAGGGGGCATTCGTACATGTAGTTAACAGTTTACCCACTTCAGAGATAAGGGGGCATTCGTACATGTAGTTAACAGTTTACCCATTTCAGAGATAAGGGGGCATTCGTACATGTAGTTAACAGTTTACCCACTTCAGAGATAAGGGGGCATTCGTACATGTAGTTAACAGTTTACCCACTTCAGAGATAAGGGGGCATTCGTACATGTAGTTAACAGTTTACCGACTTCAGAGATAAGGGGGCATTCGTACATGTAGTTAACAGTTTACCCACTTCAGAGATAAGGGGGCATTCGTACATGTAGTTAACAGTTTACCCACTTCAGAGATAAGGGGGCATTCGTACATGTAGTTAACAGTTTACCCACTTCAGAGATAAGGGGGCATTCGTACATGTAGTTAACAGTTTACCCACTTCAGAGATAAGGGGGCATTCGTACATGTAGTTAACAGTTTACCCACTTCAGAGATAAGGGGGCATTCGTACATGTAGTTAACAGTTTACCGACTTCAGAGGTAAGGGGGCATTCGTACATGTAGTTAACAGTTTACCCACTTCAGAGATAAGGGGGCATTCGTACATGTAGTTAACAGTTTACCCACTTCAGAGGTAAGGGGGCATTCGTACATGTAGTTAACAGTTTGCCGACTTCAGAGGTAAGGGGGCATTCGTACATGTAGTCAACAGTTTACCGACTTCAGAGATAAGGGGGCATTCGTACATGTAGTTAACAGTTTACCCACTTCAGAGGTAAGGGGCCATTCGTACATATAGTTAACAGTTTACCCACTTCAGAGGTTAGGGGGCATTCCTACATGTAGTTAACAGTTTGCCGACTTCAGAGGTAAGGGGGCATTCGTACATGTAGTTAACAGTTTGCCGACTTCAGAGGTAAGGGGCCATTCGTACATGTAGTCAACAGTTTACTGGTTTCAGAGGTAAGGAGGCATTTGTACATATAGTTAACAGTTTACAGACTTCAGAGGTAAGGGGGCATTCGTACACGTAGTCAACAGTTTAGCCACTTCAGAGGTAAGGGGGCATTCGTACATGTAGTTAACAGTTTACCCACTTCAGAGGTAAGGGGCCATTCGTACATATAGTCAACAGTTTACCCACTTCAGAGATAAGGGGGGCATTCGTACATGTAGTTAACAGTTTACCCACTTCAGAGGTAAGGGGGCATTCATACATGTAGTTAACAGTTTGCCGACTTCAGAGGTAAGGGGGCATTCGTACATGTAGTTAACAAAGATTTCTAACGTTATGAAAGGATGATATCTGCACATGTACATGTATATTATTTTACATGGGTCTCTGTTCCAGCAAATCATGGTCCATGATAATGTTTTTAATCCATACATGATGGAATGTTGTCTTGAGCTCAGCTACTTATCTCCTCATACCTTGTTTGCAATTCCATTTGAAAGTGTTATTTTGGAACTTTGCATTAGAAATATCAGATTCATTGAAAATGAGTTAGTGTAGCATCCTTTTGTAACCAGTGCAGTCTCTGTTCACCAGTATGTTATGACAGTATGTAGTTAACAGTTTGACGACTTCAGAGGTAAGGGGCCATTCGTACATATAGTTAACAGTTTACCCACTTCAGAGATAAGGGGGCATTCGTACATGTAGTTAACAGTTTACACACTTCAGAGATAAGGGGGGATTCGTACATGTAGTTAACAGTTTACACACTTCAGAGATAAGGGGGGATTCGTACATGTAGTTAACAGTTTACACACTTCAGAGATAAGGGGGGATTCGTACATGTAGTTAACAGTTTACACACTTCAGAGATAAGGGGGGATTCGTACATGTAGTTAACAGTTTACTCACTTCAGAGATAAGAGGGCATTCGTACATGTAGTTAACAGTTTACCAACTTAAGTTGGTAAACTGTTAACTACATGTACGAATCCCCCCTTATCTCTGAAGTGTGTAAACTGTTAACTACATGTACGAATCCCCCCTTATCTCTGAAGTGTGTAAACTGTTAACTACATGTACGAATCCCCCCTTATCTCTGAAGTGTGTAAACTGTTAACTACATGTACGAATGCCCTCTTATCTCTGAAGTGAGTAAACTGTTAACTACATGTACGAATGCCCTCTTATCTCTGAAGTGAGTAAACTGTTAACTACATGTACGAATGCCCCCTTACTTCTGAAGTGGGTAAACTGTTAACTACATGTACGAATGCCCCCTTACTTCTGAAGTGGGTAAACTGTTAACTACATGTACGAATCCCCCCTTATCTCTGAAGTGTGTAAACTGTTAACTACATGTACGAATGCCCCCTTACTTCTGAAGTGGGTAAACTGTTAACTACATGTACGAATGCCCCCTAACCTCTGAAGTGGGTAAACTGTTAACTACATGTACGAATCCCCCCTTATCTCTGAAGTGTGTAAACTGTTAACTACATGTACGAATCCCCCCTTATCTCTGAAGTGTGTAAACTGTTAACTACATGTACGAATCCCCCCTTATCTCTGAAGTGTGTAAACTGTTAACTACATGTACGAATCTGGTTACAAAAGGATGCTACACTAACTCATTGAAAATGAGTTAGTGTAGCATCCTTTTGTAACCAGTGCAGTCTCTGTTCACCAGTATACTGTGACAGTATAATGCTGTACTATGTGGGGCTCATGGTACACCATCACCAGTGACATGCAGTCTCTGTTTACCAGTATGTTGTGACAGTATAATGCTGAACTATGTGGTGCTCATGGTACACCGTCACCAGTGGCATGCAGTCTCTGTTACCAGTATTTTGTGACAGCATAATGCTGTACTATGTGGTGCTCATGGGACACCGTCACCAGTGACACACAGTCTCTGTTCACCAGTATGTTATGACAGTATGTAGTTAACAGTTTGACGACTTCAGAGGTAAGGGGCCATTCGTACATATAGTTAACAGTTTACCCACTTCAGAGGTTAGGGGGCATTCGTACATGTAGTTAACAGTTTACCAACTTAAGTTGGTAAACTGTTAACTACATGTACGAATGCCCCCTTACCTCTGAAGTGGGTAAACTGTTAACTACATGTACGAATCCCCCCTTATCTCTGAAGTGTGTAAACTGTTAACTACATGTACGAATCTGGTTACAAAAGGATGCTACACTAACTCATTTTCAATGAATCTGATATCGGTGTACCATGAGCATCACATAGTACAGCATTATACTGTCACAATATAATGCTGTACTATGTGGTGCTCATGGTACACAATTGGTTCTACTGTCATGTTCTGTAGAGTTGTTTCTTTTTGTTGGAACAATATTTTGCGGTTGTCCTGATCACAGATATTTCACGGGGGTTAAATTTTGCACAAAATCCCCGTAGTCCAAGTTACATGATAACTGCCCTTTGGTGTACATGTAGGTTAGATAACCAGCTGTACAGTCACGGACATACCCAACTCAAAGTTTGTTTACCTCTCAAAAAAAAAGGCAATGGATCTTGATCTTGCCAACTTTTGTTTAGTTTAAACATATTTTTTTGTTCAACAATTCAAAGGGAATGGACAATAAGTTATTACAACTTAAGGTCATAGGAGTGTATTGCTAAACGGAAATAGGAAGTACATCCCTAGTTGAAAATCCAATGTATGGAGACAGTATCACAATTTCCGCATATTCTAATGTTTAATATTAAACTGATGAATATTGTATGCTTATTATTGACAGAACAGTGTGTTCTTTCAATATTAAAGTATTGCAAAGCAATCCAGGCATTAATTCAGTTGTTTTTTAATCAATGAGTCACATGTGTCCATTTTTCTGTACTTCAGGAAACCGGCTACCTATTTCACTACTGTGAAGTTTTTCAAGAACGATAACTCTTGCATGCAATTACTATGTGTATATGGTTTTATTA